TCATCTTTCCCCTATTTCTTCCTCTTCTTCTTCCTTCTTCTCTTCTCTGTGTCCATCCATCAGGTCGACGCTGCAGAAGAAAGCTCCTTCCTTCTCTCTTCTCTCTCCTGACGGCTGGTCACTCAGAGGGGTAAGAACAAACCTTCATCTAAACTGATTCACATCGTGACAGCTGCACACTTAATTAAGCAACAGCGCACAACAAGCTGACTCCATATTAGATAATAAATGCTAAGGTGGAAGTAAGGCACCTCGTCTGAGTCTGTTGTTTTCTGTACCTCAGTGCATTGTGACTCTCACGGCTCATTACAAACAACAGCAACAAACAGACAAGGCAGGTGGATTCATGTTGCACATTTCATTTCAAGTAAACTCGAATCCTACGTTCACATCACAGGCCTTACTGCTCCATTCTGATGTTTTAGTCAGCTCTGATCTTGTTACGCTCACATTCATTTTTGTGACATGTATCCAGCCCCTGTGTCGAACACCACAAACGGCCGCACCTGCAGAGTTAACTGAAATGTGAGTCACGTGCGTACAAGAATAACAACTACCTCATTTGTGCAATGGTCAACTTGCACCATTTCCTAAAGACTGCTCAGTTATGACACGGTCTTTCCAGTTTGGCTTGATCAGAAGCTTCTCCATAAATGTTCCACAGATTTGAAGCAGTGTTCCAGTTAATTGTTTGGTCCTTTTAAAAAAACATTATTGACAGTAGAGCTTCACATTTTACTAAAATATATCATCAGTATCAAACCAGAGCTTTTGCTATAAAAATGACATAAACTAACGGCCTTTTATCAGATGTATGTGTATTTTTGAACATTCTGCCTATAGTTTATATTGTATTACTGTTAATTTACTGTAGGTTTAAATGAAAAGACAAAACCAATGGTTCAAGCTAAAACAACAAGAACAAGGTTGTAAAATTATTGAATTTCTTGTAGGGTGTGTAGGTGTGTAACATTTTTATACTAAGCTGACAAACAATATATTGCGCTGTCATCACTATTTATGAAATACGGGTGAATTTAGTTTTCTTTGTGTGATTTTTGTAATAAACCAGAGTTAATGGTCTTCTTGTGTGTTAGTGTTTATGGTGTCTCTGTGTCTCCTGTAGCTCCTAATTATAGACAGCCTGTTTCCCCTGACATCCGTCACTTCCTGTTTGTCCAATGGGAACAGAGTGGACACACACACACACACACACACACATGAGCATTGGCAAGGGTTCCTGTTCTTTAGGGTCTATAGAGCCACTCAGAAAGGAGGTGAAGCTGCGGAGATTCTGATTGTGACTGAGGAGGTGGAAGAGATGAGAGGAGGGCGGTAGACAGAAGGTTGAGAACAGGAGAAATGAGAAAAGAGCTTTTAAAAGTCTGACTGCGGAGGAGAAGTGGCTCAAGGAGTAACACTGGAGGAAACTAACTTGAGGAGGAGGAGAAGAGGAGGACGAAGGTGGAGTTCAGAAAAGAAGGGAGAAAAAGCAAGAGCAATGTGACTGAAGGCGATTCAGGAGGAGAGAAATCAGACAACAAGAGGAGAGGAAAAGGTTGCAGATGTTGACTTGCATGTGAGGAGGAGAAAAGAAAAGGAGAACCAATGTGACTTTAAGGTAAAACCAGGGAGGCCTAGAGGAAGAGGAGACAAAGAAAGAGAAGGAGGAAGAAGAGGAAGAGGAGCAGCAGATGTGAATACATGCAGAGAGAGTTCATTAACATTTGAACTGTGACTGAGAAGCAGATCTGATCCCAATGATGGGCTGCTGTCTGTTTGTTTACTATCGGGTGAGTCTGTTTGATTATCAGAGGCTGCAGCTCATTTCAGGTCCAACGTAAGTGTTTCATGGTCAAACCCTGCAGAACCACTGTCTTCCTGTTTGTTCAGGTGTTTGCTGCTTCACACTTCCTTTGTCTTTTTGGTAACTGTGTGAAAAGCTTTTTAACTGCACCATGCGAGGAGATCCACTTCTTATAAGCTGCACTCAGCTCACACAGCCTCAGATGCACTGAGTCGTGTTGTGTCGTGGTATCTCTACATGTTGGAGGACATCTGCAGCGACTTGACCCAGTGTTTAGATGTGCTCTGAGTGATGCATGCATCTTTTAAGTTTCTTTATCTACGCATAGTTGAATTAGCAATTTTGTAGCATTTCACATGGATGTTCCATCTGTCCCCGACCACAATCACTGTCTTTTTTTTTAATATATATATTTCTGTTGTATCCATCTAGAGAGACTCACTAGAAATGCATCTAAATGATGCTAGTTGACCAACAGCTCCTGCCAGGTCTACAAAAAAACATAAAATGTTCAGCGCCCTTCAGTTCTGCACTTTTTACTCATCTACGAAATGACTGTAGGCGTTAATGCTCACAAGCTGTAATAGTAAGACACCTTCTTGATTTTCTTTTATGAAAATGTGGTGTGAAGGGGAAATGATCACTCTTTGGCGAGTTACTACAGAAATGTGATCAGTTATTTGTTATTTATTACTTGTGTACAACATAATTACATTTAGTAATCATCCAGTAACAAAAGAAATTAGACTGACTGCTTGTTACACACTGGTGGCTGTCTCTTTGAGTGCACTTCATCGAATAGAAACGCTCTATGAGACTATATACATTGCGCCATCAAAGCTTCTTTTAAACAGCTCTAAAGAACGAACACACACGTCTCATATCTCACTGAACTCTCTGAACCGCACACACTGATGCCAAACTGTTCGATAACGCTGCCTGTTCTACTCATTCACAAAGCCCATGAGTCAAAAGATGATGCTGTCAGAAATCAACAGATGAAAACAAATTTATCAGCATCAGTAAACATATTAGAGGATCTGAAACTGTTACTAGGCCTGGATATCACTGCTAATCTCCCGATTTGATTTAGAGCCATGAAGTCCAGAGCTGACTATATTCAATTTGATTCTTGATGAATCGGTTGCATCAGATGGATAACAGTGTTGTGTAAAGTGCACGATGCTGTAGATATGGTGGCGTATCAAGCAGCTAGCCTACAATTTGGATGTATTTACTGCCCATCAACAGCTAATCAGTGTTCACCTTGCTGTAGGATTTGAACCAAATGTTAAATGTTACTATTCATTGGTTGTTATCAGTTTGTCATCTGGACTGTAGATGTGGGTTAGTAGTTTTAGAAGAGATTTTACCTGTAGCGTGTTGGGGGGAGGTTGGGGTGGATGGATGTGACATAAAACATCAGAGTTTTCCATGAGAGAGGTGGTTTTTACTAATGAGTGATTAACCCTAAACCCTAGTTTTTGTGTGTAAACATGGTATGGTCTATGTCTATTATCATAACCATGACAACAAAGGAACGCGGCTACTGAACCTAGGTGGAGTAAGGGCCTCCTGAGCCACAAATAGCATGTTAGCATCCAGAGCGGGTGTCCCCTTCTGAAGCATAATTCTGAGCATGATAACAACTGATGACCATTTAATGGGGTGATAACATTTGAACAAAATTTACCATAATCATTTATATCATTTGTAGAATGAGACAAACTTCAAATTCTCACCATGATTTTTTTACTTACCAAAAAAACACACTATCAGAATAATATGAAAAACTATATAACAACAGTCTCCACAGTGTAACTTAACTTTTGCTTTAAAAAGTGGAATAGGAATGTTTTAAGACAAAAGTGTTCAAGACTAAGCGCAATGTTCAGATACTGTGATCGAGAGTTGTTTAACTCAGGTGTGATTTCTAGAGGAAGCTGACCATATATGGTCTGGGGGACGTCTCCACCCCTCTGGTTTCTAAGGAGACAGGTAAAGTTTGCCAGGTTATATAACGTCCAACCAACAACAAAGTCTCAGCACAAGAGTGAACAAACAGCAGACTTCCTGTTATTGTTAACACTCTGCTACACTAATCCCATCCTCCTCCTCTTCCTAGCCTCCTACTCTTCCTCCTCTTCATTAATGTACTTTCTCCTCGAGTCTGTTGTCTTCCTTAACTCCCCTCTCCTCCTAATTTTTTCCTCATTTCCACTTGTTCACTTCTCTTCCTCTCCTCACCTTCTTTCCTCTCTGGTTCTCCCCCATCTCTACTCTCCTCTTCTCCTCTTGATTAAAGGTCAAAGCCATCTCTTTCTGTCATGCCCCTCCCTCATCTCCTCACCTCTTCCTTTCCTTACCCCCCACCCTTCCTTTCCTCTCCTCTTCTCAATTCTCACAGCTGTTTGTACTCACTGACCTGCCTCATCAGGTGCTTGTGGGATTTCTTCCTGTTTTCGCCATCATGGTGGTACACAGGAACTGTTAAATCGATGTACAGTGGGTACGGAAAGTATTCAGACCCCTTAAATGTTTCACTCTTTGTTATATTGCAGCCATATGCTAAAATCATTTAAGTTCATTTTTTCCTCATTAATGTACACACAGCACCCCATATTGACAGAAACACACAGAATTTTGGACATTTTTGCAGATTTATTAAAAAAGAAAAACTGAAATATCACATGGTCATAAGTATTCAGACCCTTTGCTGTGACACTCATATATTTAACTTAGGTGCTGTCCATTTCTTCTGATCATCCCTGAGATGGTTCTACACCTTCATTTGACTTTCTCTCTGGTCTCATCCCTCCTTCTTTTCCATCCTTTTCTTCTTCACTTCACTTCACTTGAAGTATGAACATAACTGTAGGTGTGAGTTTCTGTTTTTAACTAGATGGGAAAAGAAAGAGTGCTTTCACTTTGGATATTTCGAATTAGTTGGTAACTATTTTCATAATCAGCCCACTGGTTTTGTGAACACTTGCTGACATTCTTTGTCTTCGATGATTGAACTGAATAGTTTAGGGTATTGGTCTGTTGGTCCAACAAAAAAGAGAGTCTGAAGATGTAAGCTTGTTTTTTTTTTATGTTTCTTCTATTTTGGAAACTAAATGATTAATAAATTAATCAAGAAACAATAATTAGTAGTTTCAGCTCTATAATATAGTGTAACTGGTTGTAGGTAACAATGAGCTTTGCAGGTTTGGTGTTAATGTTCAGTGAGTTTATGAGCACAGACTAAACTGTCACATTTGAGTCATTTGATTCAGTGTGAAATTAAAAAGAACCAATTAATATTTGCTTATTCAGACACGTTCTCCAGCTAATGTGATATTTGCTGTGGTTTGTGCATTGCAGAAGAAGAGGAAGCAGGCCAGCAGAGATGCAGACTCCCTCAGCCTCTGCAGTCTGGACATCAACGTAAGTTCAGTTCCTTTAAACTACCTTTTCTCTTGTGGCTCAGTGTGTGATGTCCACAGACTTTGTTTAAGTCTGACAAAGTGATGAAATACGTCATAAAAGTTTGCCTCTGACTTCTACTTTAATAAAGCCAAACATATGTACATGCCTTTAAAATATGATCTAAAAATGGGGGGGGGGAATAATAACTTCCTTGCAACGTTGTGCTGTTTCACTGTGTTGTCAGCTAAAATTCAACTGCATGTAGAACTTTAACTAACAATAAATCCACTTTTTGTGAGTTACATAAAGTCCCATTCCACTAGTTTTTTAGATACACCAAATGCAGAATGATCTCTGCTGACACTTTTTATTTCATTTTAATTTAATGTTATAGATTGTTGTTGTTTTATAATAAAAAAATGTTTGCTTTTATAAGTTATTTTCTTTACCTAATCACTTTAGTCTGCCTATTTGTCATGTAATCTATATTTATAAAATATGAAACCACAGAAATTAGAAAATAAAAAGAAAGAAATTACTCATACAGATAAAAGCTAATACTACCCTGTACATACAGCAGAGGACACAATTAGTCACACAGTTTATATCCAATAATGACCAGTGAATTATATATTAAGATATAAAAAGTGTCCGCCTTTTCTTTAAATTGTTAGATTATATGGGGTGTTTCAACCACCTTGCAAAATGGTTTTAGATTTTTCCAATTTATTTTACTTTATTTTATTTTTAATTTATTATTTGAAATATTTGTTATGGCTTTTACTAGGAGAAACAAGAGAGTTTATTGCTTTTTTTAAAACTTCTTTTTGCTTGTTTGTTTGTGTAAATCACTTTCCATTGTACTAACCTGTACTCTACAAATAACAGTTTCATTAATCCTACAATTAGAGACGATGATGAGCTTACACTGCTGTACAAACAGCAGCACTGAAAATATTTGTAGACCAGACATAACTGTGACTTTTGAACTGATTTTGAATATCTATTTAAATTATGTTGATAATAATAATAAAACATGGTTTATTGTTCATTCAGACCTTCAGAGGCCCTCGATCCTCATGTTGGACCCCTTGCCCTGTATTTTTAGCCGTGTGCCAGCAGCCCGTTCCTTCCCGGGCGTTCCCCTCTCAGCTCAGTCTAACACAGGATGTCCACCCAGGTCGATACACTGCAGTGTGACAAACAGACCAAACACACCATCAGTCTTATTCTGTTACAAATGGGCAGATAATGAACCTGGAATAAACTTCACTATTGTTACTGCTGTTGCTGCCTGGAGCTCAGTGAGTCACGTATGGTGGTATTGTGCTGCCACAGAAACTCCAGGACCCGGAGACACTAACTGATTTAATGAACTGGGTCATGCAGGGGCCCAGATTTATGTCAATGTATTTACTTCTGTAGCAACAGCATTCTTGTCCTAATAATTAATTTAATTTATGGGTTCAAGTACTGTACTTGAGTACAGTTTTGAGGTACTTGTACTTTCATTTAGATTTGATTCAAATGTGCCATTCTTCCTTCTGGATATGTTAGCATGTAAAGCTAACGTGTTTATTTTGGTAACATTAGCAACCTAGCATGGTTGTGATTTTAACTTTGTACTGAATTAATATGATTTTAATTTGGGTGTAATTCTTTTTTAGGCAAAGAGTGTTGCTAATTCATGAGTATTAAAGGAAAAAAACAACCTTCCATTGACATTTGTTCATATATTACTACACATCTGCTGAATTTAACAGCATCACTCATTATTGCACAAGCATGCAGCCAGTGTTTTACAGTTCAGATGAAACGAGACGGGTCCTTCTGTGTTAGTAGAGACACTTGAGTCTATTCTTGGATCAGGAGGTGACTCTTCTTTGGGCGTTCTCTGTACCAGTTACAGTCAGTGGAGCTGAGTCAGAGGAGCTGCTGTTGTCAGCTACATGAGGTGGGTTTCATGTCATGTTAGGGGTCAGAGTTGATGCTCTTACAAATTTTAAAGGAACCCATGGAAATGCTTCTGAAAATAACTCAGAGATGAACTACAGATGACCCAGGTTGTCTGTTTGCATTTAAGTTTGTTGACATCTCTTATGAGGACACCACGTTGACTTACAGTACATTTATTTTATTATTTTTAAATGAAAATTGCCATTGTTGTTTCCCAGACCCCTTGGTGGCATTAAAAGATCATTATCAAAATTATTACCAATATTTTTTTTAATTCATCTGTCACATTTTTAATCAAGAATATTTATCATTTCATAGTTGCAGCTTCTTAAATGTGATGATACACTGCTTTACTTTGTCTTATTTGATCAGTAATTTGTCATTAGTTACACAAAACAAAACATTTTACACTTCCAGTAATGAAGTGAGAAAATAGTCCACAGATTAATCAGTAATGAAAACTATCATTAGTTTCATTAGACTAATTGTTTCAGGACTATAACCACTTACTCTAACCTAAACTGCAATGTTAGTAATGTAGTTCCTTGCTGTGTGGCTCTGTAAACACTACATGAGTAATGCAAGTATACATACAAACAAACTGAGTAATTGACTTGAACACTGGAAACCCAGGACAGAGTTTTGGCTGCCTGTAGGCAACTCGCTCTCCCCCTTTGTCCCATAATTACAGTTCAGATTGACATTGATTATTGCATGAACTGGCCAGTGAAGTCCCAGCACCACTAGTGCATCTGGTCCCAAAGCAGTGAGGGTCATGATACTGTGTATATTCAGTAAAGTTTCGCACTACTTGGACCTTATCTGATTGCTGTTGCTGCTGCTGCTTTATTAAAGCCTCCTCTAGTACATTGTATAGGGCAGCACTAAAATTTTTTCTTCACTATATGTAACAGATGATTGAATGTTATTTTTCAGAATGTATTTAGCTTGCAAATCATGTGATGACATTTAAATATGATCTATTACTGTAGGTTTAACTAACAAATGCAATGCAAAATAGGAAAAGCTGATAGCAGCAGCTCAGCAGTTTTGTCAAACAGCCAACATCACCCAGACAGAAGTAAATACAACATTTATAGGGAACTATTGAGCTACATTTTTTGTGCTAGTGAATAATTCCAACAGCAGGGCGATGCTGCAAATGTGCTGACAGTATCCTTCTGAAGTAAATGAGTTTGCGTTGTGTTCTCCACATGCAGCTTCAGGCTTTCCTCATATTATGGCTTGTGCTTTTGATTTAGAATGGTGGAACAGTTTCATTGTGTTTACACCAGTCACTGTATATTCGATGGACATGGCTTCACCACTTCCCTCCACCATGCAAAAATGAAGCCAAAGTATTGTGAATAACCAGTAGCGACCAGAAGTGGGCTGACAACATCACACCATCAATCAAAGCTGTCAAATCAACCAAAATACATCTATTTTATATTATCAAACAGCCTATTGAAAACAAACTTACCAGAAAAATGACCATTTGTACACACATCAGTGTGATAATACCAAAAGCCACAGAAGTGACGTCTGGGAAAAGTTTATTTGGTTTGCACTTTGAGTTTTTAGTTTGACTCATGTCCCATCCACTAACATGGAGGAGGTGGGATTTATTAACTATGCTGCAACCAGCCACCAGGGGGCGATTGATTCATGGTGGCTTTGCTTCTAGGTGTTGTCAGGTGTTGTTGACTGTCTATACAGTACAGTCAATGTGTGTCCACCCTTTGTATCGACTTCCAGTATAACTTGCAAATCATGAATATTTGATTCACATCTGATCTCTTGATGTGCAGCCATTTACAAATGAGAGAGGAGTCTCCTTTTTTCAGAATTAATTCTTCCAGCAGGCGATCTCCACCTTCTGCCATGCTTTTTCTGTTTGTAGGCACACATAAGACACCACGTTATGGTGTGTGCACTGACATCATCACCCATATTGTCAAAATTGTGAGATGACAAATTTTTATTATATACCAGTATATTGTAGACAGTACATGGTAGCCCTGTGACAAACTACTGACATAGTTCCTATGAAAACTGTATGGTGACATGTATGGTGTGATCTGTGGAAGCCACTCCAACAACAAACTGACTCCAGCTCATCCCAAATCCCAGTTTTACCCCTGTGTACAATACTGGTCACAAGGGTCAATTCATTGTTGATTTTTTTTTTTTTTGTCTTTTCATGAGATTAGTTATCAACAAAAATATATTTTAAAAAATCTAATTCTTTACACAAAGGCTCAGAATTCTTCTAACACTGATGGAAGAAAAAAGGGCCAGGAAAGGCAGAAAGAGAGGAAGGAAGTAAAGCAAATTAATCATTGGTTGAGCCAACCAGTGAGTCAGAGAGAGACACAGAACATGAATGATCTGTGAGTTTTAAAACAGAGAGAGCCAGGAGGAGGATGACCATCACTGAGAGCGAGAGTCCTTTAACGGGCTCCTGCTACGCGTTTCAGGACACTACCAGAACCGGGTTGTCTGCGAACATTTCAAGCTTATTCCAGATACTTGACTAGTATTGATGCTTTGTTTATTCTATTAGCACCAGGTATTAATGAGATGCTCTATTAGAGTAGTAAACTTTTGTGGTACCAGACTCTTTCTGACTGAAACTCTACTGGTATCAGGTGGTTATTGGATACTTTAAAAAACACTGAAGACTTTGTGAATGCTCTCACCAATACCAGACTCTTTCTAGACCCTCTGCTGGAGTTTAGTTCTTTATAACAAACTGTTACCTCTCCTTATCCGTGTTTAACACCTTCTCAACATTCACACCTGGACACTACCAGACTGAAAATAGTCTGGGAAAGACCCTGATTCGGTGTGGGGTGAGCACTATGGTGATAGGGCAGAGCCCTGTCTGCCTACTGGCGTGGCGGTTTAAGTCTGGATGCTCTGTGGATTTAGACACAGGGAAGAGCAACATGGGAAAACAGATGGAGGTAAGATGGATGATTTACAGCTGAATAAATTCAGTTATCTTAGAGGCAGAACTGGTAAAATCTCCCTCAGCTCTCTTCATTTGATCTAAATCT